GGCCCCAGTGCCAGGGGGAGGGCCCCATTCGCCTGGGCGAAGCGCCGCAGGCTGCTGGGTGGTGCTAAACTTCCTCACCACCGCCGCTGCATCCGCGATGTCACCCTGGGGCCACACTGCCGCTGCCGCCCGAGACATTTCGCCAGCTCGCGCGAGCTCTGTGACACGGCGAACGCGGGCCGCGACATGGTCTTCGCGGCCCTTCGCGGTGACCGAGGTGCGCGTCTGGTCCTCCATGGAGAGCCAGGCGACATCCCATTGGCCGTCCTGGATCCACTGCAGACGCTCCTGGAGACGTTCTCGTCGCGTCGTCGGGGTCGGGGTCGCGTTCTCGCTGAACAGCAGCCCATCCAACGATAAGAACACCTTCCACAGCCGCGTCAGCGTGCGCGACGCCTGGTCGTCGCTGCCCTGGCGGGCCTGCTCGATCGCTAGGCGCAGCCGCACCTTCACGTGGCTCACGGCGGCAGCCATGCTGTCGGGGATCATGGCCGCGGTGGGCGCGCCCTGTAGCAGGATGCGGCCCCACCCGATGGCGTCCCACCAATCCAGATTGACAAACCCAATCTCGTGGTGCGCATCCTCGTCAGCCACCTGGTCGTCCAGGTAGTCGTCGTAGACGCCTGCTTCGAGCCCCCCGTCGTCGTCCGCGTCCGCAGGGGCGTCAAGGGGCGGCTGCAAGATGTCCGCGGTGGACGGTGCCGCTGCCTCGGCTGCCACAGGGGGGGCCCCTCGTGAGCCTGGGCCATGCGCCCCTGGCGCGGCGGCGGCAGGGAGCCTCGGGGCGACCCCGGCGCTCCCTGTCGCGCCATCTCCCTCGGAGGGCGGAGTGGGCACCTGGCCTTCGACCGTCTCCAGCAGGGGCAAGATGGGGCCACCTCGGGCCTCCAGGGCTGCTGTGAGGCGTTCCCCGTCACCCTCGGGGAGCTGCGTGTAGCCCTCCATCGCCGTCGCTGGTGGCAGGGGGCCATCCGCGCAGGCCATGTGGAACCACTTCTTGCCCGCGTGCGCCTGGGAGCCCACGGGGCGCGTCACGGCGCCTGCCGCGCGCCATTCGCCCGCCTCGAAGCCTCCCATGCAGCGGGTGCAATGGGCTTGTTTGCCGCGGGTCGCCTGGGCGCTGATGCACCAGCGAGTGATCCGCCCTCCCGTCATGCGACGCCGCCGCTGCGCCGGCTGACCTTCACTGTCCCGCATGTGGGCGTCGATGCTGCCGTCCATTGGGATTTCTGAAGCATTTGCATCGGCCGATGCGCGCGCGGCAGCGGAGGCGCACGGGGCGGCCCCGGCACCTCCGCTGCCCACTGCGGCTGCCAGCGCACCGCCTTCACCTCGGGCCGCCGCGACGTTACTCCCAGCCACTCGAGCCCCTGCACCTGCGTCCGCGGCGCCGCCAGCGGCCGCCGCCATCCCAGGACGTCCCTCAGGGCAAGGAAGAGCGTGCGTAACGGTAAGGGCGCGAGAAAAGGAAGGGTGGCTGCCACCCGCGGTGTGAGGGCAGCAGTAGCCCCCCCGCCCACAGGCTCCCCAGAGCCTTGGGGGTCTACTACTACTACTACTAATACTACTACTACTACTACTACTACTACTACTACTACTACTACTACTACTACTGCTACTACGACGGCTGCTAATACTACTACTAGTACGACGACTTACTAATATTATTTCTACTACTACGACTACGACTACGACTACGACTACTACTACTACTACTACTACTACTACTACTACTACTACTACTATTACTATTTTTGATACTGCTACTGCTGCTGCTACTCCAACTGCTACTCCAACTGCTACTTCGAATGCTGCTACTAGTACTTGTACGATTAGTATTCTTAGTTTTGTCACTGCTGTTGTTACTATTACTACTGCTACTACTGATACTACTACTACGACTACGACTACTACTACTACTACTACGACTACTACTACTACTATAACTACTGCTAGTGCGACTACTGGTACCACTACTGCTAATGCTACCACTACTAGTACTGGCATTATCAATATGTTCACAACGACTACTGCGACTAGTAGTAGTACTACTACTACTACTACTACTACTATTACTAGTAGTGCTGCTGCAATTATTAACACTACCACTGCTCCGAGTACTACTTTGGCGACTACTATTTCTGATGCTTCTACCGCTACCCTGCGAATGCTACTACTACTACTACTACAGCTACTACTACTACTACTACTACTACTACTGCTATATTTCTGCGATTATTACTACTGCTGCTGCTGCTATTACTACTACTAAAGCTAGTACGAGTGCTAATACTAGTACTACTACTACTACTACTACTACTACTACTACTACTACTACTACTACTACTACTGCTGCTGCTACTTTTACTACTACCACGACCCCTACCAGTACTACTACTACTGCTACTACGACTTGTACTACTTCTAATCATACTGCTACTACTACTAATACTACTACTACTACTAGTACGACTTCTTCTACTACTACTATTACTAAAACTGCGACTACTACTACTACTACTACTACTACGACTTCTACTGCTACTACTACTATGCTTACTACTACTACTACTACTACTACCACGACTACTACTACTACTACTACTACTACTACTACTACTACTACTACTACTACTACTACTACTACTATTACTACTACTACTACTACTACTACTACTACTACTACTACTAGTACGGCTAGTAGTACTACTACTACTACTACTACTACTACTACTACTACTACTTCTATTACTACGGCTACGACTACTACTACTACTACTATTACTATTCCTAGTACTACTTCTGCTACTACTACCACTACTACGACTACTACTACTACTACTACTACTACTACTACTACGACTACTACTACGACTACGACTACAACGACTACTACTGCTGCGACCTTGTGTGTGTGTTTTTTTCTGTTTGGTTTTCTTCCACATCGTCTGGCATGTCCATTGCTCCTCCTCCTGCTTCTTTGGCTATATTTCCCTCCATCCTAACCCCTCCCTCCCATCGCGCCTCCTCCTCGTGCATCCTTCTATCGCGTTCCCTATCGTTGCAGCGTTCTCCCTTCACAGGTGCAGAAATGCATATTGCTGCCTCGGCGCGCATCTGAACGATCCACTCGGGGACCCCGTTGGTCAAGCCCACGGGTTCCATGGGTCCGCGGGGAGACGCTCGGCAAATTCGACGGGTCCGTAAAAACCAGACTTGGGATTCAGAACGGCGGTGGCGGGGGGCGCGCGCGGGCCGCCGCCGCCGCGCCCCGAGGCAGCGGGGGCCAACTCTGCGGAGGAGACCCCCTGGGTGGACCCCGCCCAGCTTGCGCCGGCGCAGCCCGCGGGACCGACTCAGGAGTCACCGCGTTTACCTGGGCCAGGCTCGGACCAGTTCAGCAACTTGGCGGCGCAGTTCGGAGGCAAGGCGACGGGGAAGGGAACCGCGACATCGGAGCCGTACCCCACAGCCTGCCGCCCAGTCCGCTCCGCCGAGGGCGACCCCAATCCCGCTGCGCACAAGTGCCATCAGCTACCACCTCAGCCAGAGGGAATGCCAGTGGATGCGGGTGCGGCGGCAGCGGCAGCTTCAGGAACGAGGACGGCAGCGTGAACCGCACAGACGAAGGAGGCTGGAGGATGGCACGTGAAGGGCACGGACCTCTGGCTACCTCAATACACGGCGCTCCCATGGGAAAAGAGGAGAGCCCTAATACCTTCGTGCTCGGCATGGCCATATTGGACAACAGCGAGCACTTGCACATCGACTGGGTAACGTCGAGTAATACCTTTGCTGATGACGGACAAGCTCTCATGGGTCAGTTGCAGAGCCTCCGTGAATGTTCCAGCGTTGGCACGACCAGCTCGGACGACAACGCCTACTACCGTCCTCAGGGCCCGATTGAGAACGGTCTGCGACTCCAAGTTGACGCTTGGAATGCAGAAGCTTTCCTCTGGACCATCGAGGCAGCACCGCAGGATTGGAATGATTGGTGCGTGCCTGCAGTTCGTCATCACCTAGCCATGACGACGATGATGAGGTGGAATCAATGTAATGATGCCGCGATCGAGATCTGCAATGGGGTGTGGCGCCGTTGGGGAATTGCGCGCTACAACAGCCAGCAGAGGCTTTCAGCATTGCTCGCCCGCAACCCTGGTGAGTGGGCTAACTACATGATTGAACAAATTGCGAGGATAACGAGAGCTCGGAGGCAAATGACACTTCAGGCCCATCATGCACATCGTCAGCCCCGAGTTGAAGATCGCATTCGAAGAGGTGAAGAACTCTCGGTGAGTGCCATCAAGACTGCCAGACGAGGAGGAAGGCTACCCCATCCAGCGCATGAGGTACCTGCTACAGAAGCGCCCGAAGTACCTGTTCCTGCGCACGATTTCCATGTTCCAGATGAGACCGAGCCAGGGCCTAGGGAGATCGAGGCGCAGCCCCAGGTCGAGGGCCCCGAGGCACCTCCCGCGCCACCAGGAGGGATGCGACATCTAGGTTTTGGCAGGTTTGCCACGGCCAACCAGGAGATGCAGCACCAGGACGGGCAGGGCGGCGACTCGACCAGCCTGAACCAGATGACAGTTCACGCCTTTCGCACTGACGGAGTGTGCTTGAATAGCCAGGCACCGCCAGGAGATCGCCCTGAGACGATGGAACAACAGGCCGAACGGCACGTCCACCGCGGGCTGATGACGGCAGTCCGTGATCAAGCGGCGGCGTGGAGCATCGAGCACTACCTGTGCAGCGATGATTTTGCGAGGCGCGACTGGGTGATTTACTACATCCCGTACGCGATCCAGATATTCCAGATAACACCAATCCTCAACAGGAGGTACGACACCTTCCCTGAGCTCATGCGTTCTGCGCGTGAGCTATGCGCTCAGATATGGACGAGAGGGCTACCACGGCGCCACCAGTATGCCCGATCGATGACCGCTCTTGGCCAGAACTGAGTGGATGAATGGTGGATGGAGGTGCGCCTGGCGCAAGAGGCACTACGTGTGGCACGGGACCATTTGGACCGAGCAGCTGGTGGACCAGGCCTGGGCGAGTTCGACCACCATGTACCCCCAGAAATCCAGCCTGGACCTGAGCCAGGCGAACCGCAGCCAGCACCGCACGCGGGAATATTACCTCTGGTGGGAGAGGATCTGCTCGATCGACCACCATTTGCGGCTGATGAAGACCAGCCGCCTGAACGGGAGGATGACGATGAAGGAGCGGCAGCGCCTCGACCAGGAGATGTCGTCTCGCTTCTTCAACGGCATGTGCGTCGAGTACAGTGGGGGCAGGTCCAGACACATGAGTGCGAGGACGACAGCAGTAGCGACGTGACCGCCTCTGCCGCCCGCATGTCCCTGCCAGAGGTTGTCCCAACTGAAAGCCAGACGGGCCGCCTGCGAGGGGCCCTGACGGGCCCAGCAGGTCCTTCTCCTTGGGCGCTGGGTTCTGGGACCGCCGAGGGGACTTACAAACTCCAGCGGGGCGGAACCCAGCCTCTTTCAGGCTCCGCTGCAGACCTGACTAGCGCAACACAACCGCACAGTCACGCCTTTCTGCAGCGCCAGGCGAGAGAATTGCCGACCTTGCCTCCGTCAGGACAGCCGATGGAGGCAGGGGCCGCCACACTGTCTTGGGAACTTTTTCTTTGCCAAGACCCTGGCCGTTTGCCGGGGCCTCGCGCCTGCTGCCGCGCTCACGCTGGACAAACGACCTGTGAGCAATCTGAGCCCGTGCCAGTGTATCAGCATCAATCCTGCAAATGTGTCTCATCACTTGATGAGGCGATCCCGTGCAGGCGACGCCTGTACAGCCAGGTGTCAGAGATGAGGCGCAAGATCTCGCTAGCAGAGTTGCTCTCAGCTGATGAGGTACCGGCGAAGACCGATCCCCAGGAACAGCAGGAGCGGTGCAGCAAGTGCACCGCACATGTTCCCACCCCTTCGGATGCCTCCCAGTGCGACCCTGATTGCGGGCCTAAGTCGGAATACCCTGACGAGGTGACGTCGTCTAGCCCCCCAGGACCGACGGGGTCCCAGGACCTTGGGCCAGAGGAGGTCGACGCCATCCCTAGTCCTTTAGCCGATCAAGGCGGCCCCCCGATGAACCAACCAAGCGAGCCCCCCTTGGAACCCCCAGCTGCTGCCCAGGGATTGCCTTTTCGTTATTGTCATGCCAGAGCATGTGCAACCAGTGGTCGAGATAGTTCGAGACACGCATCTCCCACCATGGAGTTTAGAGCTGGATGCTGACACGTTGCCGTTCCCAGCTCGTCATGCATTGCAGCAGTGTCCTGTTGATGCCACAGTTCATAGGAATAGCGAGCAGCGCCATTATTAAACACACGGGTCCATGATGCCTGATGCGGGGGACGAGGGGGGCCTGGAGTAGCATCAAACTCTACCAGGATGGTGAAGGCAACATCTCTTTTGCTGGGTGGAGGTCGGGATTGTGGTTACAGACGTGTGCAATCCCATCTCTCCTCTCGGCTCCAGACATCCTTCACCACGAGATGCTTGCTATTTGCTGGTCTCTCCTTGATGTCATCCAGAGTGCCGCTAGTGGAGGAGAAATGACACCTGCCAGCATTAATTCAGACTCCAAGAATGCTGTGGATGTGATCCATGGGACCGCTACAGTCGATCATCAGCACCTGCTTGCTCGGCAGATGCTTGCTCTCCATCGTATTGCTACTCAGCTATGTAAGATTGGCGTATACCACGTCAAAGCGCACGAGGATCACCCGTGGAACACGCTAGCTGACCACATCGCGCGAGTCACCATGTGGGGGCATCAGTCCTTCCTCCCCCATTGACCCGAGGATGTTAGCGGTGATGAAATACGGTGTGGGTCGTCAGTGGAAATGGGTGCAGCTTCTCCCCCCATCTTGTCGGGTTGCGCACCCCCCTTGGGTCAGACGGGACAGCGTGGATGGCTCTGGCATGCTAGAAGGGTTCATGTGTCACGGCCAACGCATGGTCGCTACCGTGCCGCCAGATGAGCCCACCGCTCAGGCGCAACCAGTCCAGGCTCGTTTCCAGATCCAAGTTGCCCAGTACAACCCCAAGAGCGCGAGCATTCGCCATGCGTACGGGACGGCTGGGAGGAGGAAGGCTGCACGCGCGCGCACACTTCAGGAACAGTTTGAGCAGTCCGATGCGCATGTGATGGGGATCCAGGAGTCTAGGAACAAAGGAGGAGTGAGACAAGCAGGACACTTTGTGGTGTTTGCGTCAGGCACGTCATCCGAGGGATCAGGGTGTGAATTTTGGTTCAACACGTCAGTCCCCATCGGCCAGACTCCCAAGGGGAAGGACATCAAATTTGCCAACGATAACCTGGTGACGGGAGTGGCCACCCCCGGGCTGATCATAGTGGCCTACTCGCCCCCCCAAGCGAGGATGACTTTTGCCTCTATGCATGCCCCGCACATCCGTCTGGGGGATTAAGGTTGTTAAGATGTTTTGGGGCGCGGCTGAGGCTATGGTCCTAAAGTATAAAGTCGACTACGTGTGTGTGGATGCGAATGCTAGGGTGGGGGACATTGTAGCATAATGGATCGGGAGCGAAGGGCTGCCGCAGGAACAGGACCGAACTGGGCAGTGTCTCCAGGTTTTTGCGGCCAGCACGTCGTTGTATGCCACTAACACACATGTGCCTCATACATAGCCCAGCGTACACGTATACAGCCAATAACGGCCAGCGTCATAGGATCGACCATGTGATGGCTACCCAGCAAGGAATGCAGGCGGTGAAGGAGGTTGCTGTTTGGACAGAGTTTGATAATGCCATGGCGCAACCAGATCACCAGCCAGTGTCAGTCCGATTCCAGTGGGTTGCCCTCACCCACCCCCCTCGGTCAGGCCCCAGGGAGATAAGCATGGCGGCGATGAAGGGCCACGAGGCGTCCTCGCAATTTCAGGAAAAGGTGCGTCAGATCCCAGCCGTCCCATGGACGACGGACGTTAATGAACACCTCGTGATTGTTCAGTCCCAAATCTTGCAGGCCGCTCGACAGGCCTTCCCTGTCCCCAAGACGATTCCCTGTGCATCCCATGTTTCAGCCAGAACGCGCCTCCTGATTGCGACGAGGCGGGGCACTCTGGGGAAAAAGCGGGACCTGGCGGCCAGTGTTTTTTTTTCTGAGCGACGCACCTTGTTTCGTTTTGCGCGTCGGTTAAGAAACGGGTGACCTCGCTTTCACGACAGAAGTAGACCATGAGATCCATCAGCGTTGGTGTGAGCAGATGCGTTTCTTGGAATGCGATGCGCATCGCACTCACAATGAGGTTTGGGGCAGCCAGGGGACGGCAGCGGAGCAGGTGCACGCAGCTAACCGTTGGAAGGCCTCCTCTCTTTCGCACTTCCCCCGTCTTCGCTTCTGCGGCACACCCCAAGGCGGCCTGGGCGGGTTTGGGAATGCAGGAGATTTCAGAGGACCCCAGTATTGACAGGTTGATACCCCATGCTTTTATGAGGCTCCGCTATTGGGCCAGTAGGTTTCCCCAGGCTTGGGATAAGGATGGTCATTGGAGTATGAAGGCTGACATCTTTGCGATTGTCCTCCAACTGTTCGTGACTGACTCCCAGGAACTCTCGGCCTTCTCGCTTCAACAAGATCGCGCGGTCTATCTCGTGAAGGAACTGGAGGGACTGCGTAGCTCAATTGTTTTGAAGACCCCCATGAAGGAGTGGGACCACCTCCACCGAACCCTCCGTTTTGCTGGCCGGCCCCCCAATATTGTTTTCTCAGTTCCTTGCATGCGAGACTCCCAGGGGGCGGTGGCGGAGACCCCAGAGGAGCGCGTCCAGGAGATTGTTCAGGATCACTTTGCCAAGGTAGAGCGAGGATACCCGATATCGGACCAGGAGCGAGTGCAGCAGTACAATAGAGCGAGCGGCGTATCGACCAGACCATCGCAGTGCATCCCTGCCGCAAGTATGCCCACTGCGTATGATTACACTTCCTTTTTTTTTCCAAGGCTCAACCTCGGAAACGGGCGGGGCCTGATCTCCTCCCTGATGACTTTTTCAAGGCGGCGGCCGTTGATGTGGCTGTCACCCTGCGCCCCCTGCTGCTGAAAATCGCGGCCCATGGGGGGGGGGGGGAACCCTCCAATTTTAAGGAGGGAGAGGCCATTTTTTTCCATAAGGGATCTAGCGACGTCTGGGCTGCGCAGGCCCAGAGGAATATCCATTTGTGCAATGCTCTCGCCAAAATGCATCACAGATTTGTTCGGCAGAAGGCGGCCGACTTCATATACGCCGTTCTACATGTCGCGCAGATTGGCGGCCGCCCAGGTTGTTCCATTGAGTTTGCAGCATTGTACATCCGCCAGCACTGGCATGCGACTAGGGTTCGGAAAGTGTCGGCGGGGGGAAGGTTCATCGATCTGGTGGCCGCTTTTTACCCGACGGTGGAGCAATTGGCAGTCCGCCTGCCGCGAGATGAAGATTCCTTACAACACGCTCTCCAGACGATGGAAATGAGTCCCTTCATGGTCCAGGGGGTGAAGGCTCAACTTAATCAGCTCCCTCTCCTGTCAGCGCCTGCAGAGGCTGCTCACATCCTGGCCCTTTTGTAAGAATCGCAGTCAGGATCGCAATGGAAGCTGGCCCTCACCAGCGATTGGATCGCACCCACGGTAGGCTCCCGACCTGGATCCATACCCGCGGGAGGCGTTAAAACGTGGTTTTCTCAGGTATTGTGACGGACCTCCAGGCAGCCCTGAGACAGGAAGATTTCGTTTGGACCCCGACCCAACCGTCCATGCGTTTCTCGGTGGCTGAAGATTGGAATCAGCCCACCAGTGATGTGTCTTTTTATAGACGACCTAACGTTATTGTTGGCTGGCAGTGCGCAGGAGCCCCCTGGAAAGGTCATTCGGGCGTATGACATTGTGTGTGGGCTTGTCCAGGAGCGGGGTCTTGTGGTCAACCCCCTTAAGGTCAAGATTGCGTTGGCTTTCCGTGGGGCGGGGCAGAAAGCTGCGAGAAGACGGCTGGCCACGCAGAGTCGACCTACCCTCCGTTCGGAAGCCTGGCGACAGGACTTGGAGGTTGTACGGTGCCACCGCGTGCTAGGGACCATGTGCATGAATACTAGGGGACTTGGAGCCGAAGTGGCACACCGTGCTTCGGGGATGGCGGGGGCCCTCAAGCCCATCAAGGAATTGATCGCCCCCTCCCCCCTCATCCCACTGGCCAAGAAGGTCACGTATTGTGAGTCGATTGCTGCGTCGCGCATGTTCTATTGCAGCTCTACATGGGATGATGTGCCTGGGTATAGTGA